GTCTTGAAATAGTCAAAGAAAATATGTGGGGTTTTCATTCAGAAATTCATTTTCTTTCAGTGATTCCAAAGGAAATCAGCTGGCAGCCAACATTGCTTGTATCACAAATAGGCCACTTTATTAGGTACAGCCTGCTAGTACCGGGTTGGACCTCTTTTGTCTTCAGAAACGCCTCAATCCTGTGTGGCATAGATTCAACAAGATACTGAAACATTCCTCAGAGAGTTTGGTCAAGGTTGATTTGCCGGCTGCTCATCCATGATGCAAATCTCTCGTTCCACCACATCCTGAAAGCTCTACTGGATTAAGATCTGGTGACTGCAGAGTCATTTGAGTACAGTGAACTCATCTTCATATTCAAGAAACCAGCCTGAGATGATCCAATACAACAATACTCAGGTGGATTTGGTGTCGATGCTCAACTGGTACAAATGGACCCAATGTGGGCCAAGAAAATACCCCCCACACCATTACACCACCAGCAGCAGCCTGAACTGTTGGTTCAACAGTTATTTCAACATTGCACCTGCACTTTACTTTAATTTCGTTAAGTACACTGGTTTAATGTTGCCACCTTAAATTGTCACTTGTTATTCTGTTCTGTTGTGTACTGTTGTACTGGAGTTCTCCCATGTGCCATAATCGTTTCCTTGTGTGCGCTCACACACACACTTGGCATTAAAGCTCATTCTGAACGCAGGATGAATCCAAGCTTTCATGTTGTTGACGCCAAATTCTGATCCTACCATCCCAATGCTGCAGGAGAATCGAGACTGATCAGACCAGACGATGTTTTTCTAACCTTATATTGTCCATTTTTGGTGAGCCTATGTGAATTGTTGCCTTGGTTTCCTGTTCTTAGGTGACAGGAGTGGCATCCAGTGTGGCCTTTTGCTGCTGCGGCTCATCCACCTCAAGGTTCGACGTGTTGTGCGTTCAAAGACCTAGATTGTAACAAGGGGCTATTTGAGTTACTGTTGCCTTTCTATCAGTTTGACCATTCTCCTCTGACCTATGGTATCACCACAGTCTCTTTACCCACAGAACTGTTGCTCATCACTGCATATTTTCTCTTTTTCTGACCTCTCTCTGTAAACCCTGGTTGTGTGAAAATCCCAGTAGATCAGCAGTTTCTGAAATACTCAGATCAGCCTGTGTAGTACCAACAACTTCACTCTTCCCCATATTATTGCTCGGTTTGAACTGCAGCAGATCGTCTTGACCATGTTCACATGCTAAATGCATTGAGTTGCTGCCATTTGATTGACTGATTAGAAATTAGATTAAATTGATTTAAAAAAGCTGGACAGGTGTACCTATTAAAGTGGCTAAAAAGAATTGCTACTTCACTTCACTTTTAATTCTCCATATCTCATTGAGATCATAAGTAGTGTCTTTAAAACCAACTCTTTTGGATTCACACCGTGCTGTAAAATGAAAATGACTGAACCATTGATATTGTCAGGAATTATCTTACATTATGGTGAAATAATTAGGGAATGTCTGAGATGGAAATCTCTCTCTCTCTCTTTTCCTCCTGTGAAAATATCTGCTGAGTATAAAGGCAAATCAAAAAAGTGTCCTGGGAAAGTAAAAAGTTATAACTGTCTGCTGTCCACCGCAACTGTGAAACAATACAAGGTCACAGAAAGTTTCATCTCTTTATCTCTCTACTACCTGAAAACTCCTTTCATTCCTCCGGGGATTTTCTGTATTTGAGATTCCCCGGTGTGTTTGCGCGCGCGTGTGTGTGTGCGTGTGTGTGTGTGTGTGTGTGTGTGTGTGAAAGTATGGTATAGCTTATATAAATTGTATACTTTTGTACTTTTTAAATGATCACACTCGTGTTTTCATGAACACAGACAGTCAGAACCTCCATTTATGATCATTTTTACAATAAAATATCTCTGTACAGGGAATTAGGAACCTTTAACAGGATGAGCACCCCCTGCTGGCCTCACAAGCACCACCTGCTAGTTTTTCTTTGCAGCTTTCCATCCAGCTAGTAATAAGCCATACGCATTAGTGGGCAACCATGGGGCTCCAGAGCGCTACTGTTGCAAATTTAGAGATGCCAGCAGTATTTAGAGCCCCCTTTGTGTCCAAGATGGACAGAACACCTTGACGACTTTGTCCACCTGCATCTGAAATGTTGTGTAAATTAAAGAAAAAGGTAGATAAGAAAGTAATAATATAATCTGAGGACATTGCATATCCGATACGGGGTATTACTAGGGGTTTGGCACAATACAAAACGTATCAAATATGTTTATGTTGTGAATATCGTCTAGAAGCTTCTCTGTGTGAGGAACAACAGCATGAGATCTTTTTACAAAAGGCATACAGTAAAACAAAGTGGTACCCTGAGATACGACTGCTTCGAGTTACGAAAGGTCTCGCAGGACATTTTTTGCAACGAGATCCGAAAAAAAATTTGAGATACGAACAACTACAAGCAGTTCTGCTCTATTATCCGCTTGTTCAGTCTGATGTCACGCTGTGCTTCCGGGTCCTGGCGCTCCATTCTCCCATTGCAGACAATGCTAAAAGGGTCTGATGCACTTTAAAACACTTTAAATCAGTTTTAAATCAAGCGAAACATTATGTTTAGATTACCAATAATGTACTATAACAAAAGTTAGAGTCAAGGCTCTGTAGCGCAAGTTAGAGAAACCCTGTGAAGCGTTCTCAAAAGCGCTCTCTCCATCTGTCTCCGCTTGAAATCGTTGTTGGTGTTCATATAACTTTCATACGTAGTGCCGAAATGTTTTCTGCCATCCGTTCCACCTCCTTTGACACATTGCTTCACTCTCAAATTAAGGTTTCACATTTGTGTACATATTTCGTATTTTGCTTGTGTTTTATTCTGTTTTATTATCATTTATTACATTAACAATGTGTAGATTTAAGGATTGAAGAAACGTTACTTGATTTTACTCTGGTTTTCCATTTATTTATCAACTTATACTTTTGTTTGTGAGAGCCCCTGCATGTATTAGGCATTTTAAAATATTCGAAATGTTTGAGATACAAACGCCACCCTGGAACCCATTCATTTCGTATCTCGGGGTACCACTGTATAATAAGAGCTCTCATACGAGAATCTTCATTTTAAATGTTAAACATTTTTCTGATGCCCTGTGGAGGCTGGATGATATTACACAATCTAATTCGTATCAAAATAAACCGTCATGTTCTTAGCATAACTTACATTTAGTTAAATATTACATTGATGGCTTTGTCATTGAATTAGTTTCAGTAAATTGGGTTTGTAAATGTCATTTTCAAAATTTGGTTTATTGGATATTTGATCAGCGATGGACTGCTGACCTGTTCAGGGTGTACCCCCGCCTCTCGCCCGATCTGGATATCTGACCCCATAAGAGATTAAGCGAGTGAATGAGTGAATGAATATTTGATAGATATTGTGGTGCTTATCGTATTGTGCACATATCGTGAAGTGTATCGTATCGAGACCAGTGTATTACATTCTAATTAACTCCATCCCACATATTGATTGGAATATTTAATAATATATTCCAGAAAAGACAGTAGAGGGCTTGATGTCCAAATATTCACTACATTTTTAAGAAAATTTGGAGTAGTTTCGTTTAAGCGAATTACACGGATGTTCAACCCCTTCGCAATGCTTTAACTTTTTGAACTTTTAGGCAGAGCTTTCCCTTTTTTGCCCTAGGAACCGCATCAATAAGGAGCAAAACGACGTATATTTGAAAGGCACACTTATTTAGTCACAAAGCTTAATAATAAAGAAAGTACTCAATTAACACGCAAATATTTAGAAATTGGGAGGAGCATAACTATATTAACCTTCACTATGCAAGCTATAAAACTAATGAATTAATCGCATTCCGATAATCCCAAAAAACGAGGTATTTTAACCCCTGTGATCATTTGACAGAGTTGTCAGCTGAGTTTTGTGGCTGAAAGAATTAGTCTAGCACGGAGGGTCTAAACCAAACGATGATGTAATCACTATTTATTTTCTGCTCGTTCACAAATACAGACACGTACACCCTCAGAGTCATTTGAAGGGGGCCGGGGTTGAGAGTGAATGAAGCAGGAATAAATGGAAATAGAAGAGGTGAATAGAAGGAGGAGCCCTTCTGTCCTTCTCCTCTGTTCCCTAGTTTGGTCAGTCAGAGCTGGGCATCAAGGGTCAAACGCAGAGGCTGTCGAATGGGCTTCACATCACATGCATTTAGTCATACAAGCTGTTTTCTTAGTAATGACAAATGACTTACTGTTCCAGAAAGGAAGCAGAGAATGATCTGTGTTGCTGGGAAGACTCTGAGAGGGAAAAAGAGGCCGCAGATATAAATGGTTCCTGTTGCATGTGGTCATTGAGCTGAGTGTGTTTGAGACTGTGTTGTGTGTCATCGGGAGCAGCTGAAGCTCTCAAACATTTCCCCCATGGCATTGCATCATTCCCTGCTGTGTCCCAAAAAATAAAAACCACACACACACACACACACACACACACCACGGTGAGTTGGGTTTCACAGGGTGTTTCGGCGGACAGACATCAGTTGGGAAGCAACATGTTCATGACTTCTGAACACATTACAGCTCTTTTAAAGGTGTGTAAAACGAGAGGTTAATCATGGTAGACCTCTTGACCCCCTAAAGGAAAGAGTTAACCGTTTGCTCATAACAGCAGGACAGAGCATCTTCCAACATGTCTCAAGTGTCCATGACTCTCATTCCTGTAAATGCACTCTGTACGCTTGAGCACATGTTTTAAATGACTTTATTAGTACTAATCATTATATTGAATCTGTATGAAGGTCTGCAAAAGATGGTCTAATAGCTTGAGGATCAAATAGACATCCAATAGTATTTGGATATAAAACTTTAAACAGGAACATCTAGGTCTCCTTCATGAACAATATTGGTAAATAGAATATTGTGTGGTAAATACTGTAATATTATATAAACAGTCAACAGAGGCGCACTAGGACTAGTCCACAATCCCCGAGTTCCATATGGTCAAGCAGTTAGGATTCCTGGTTTTCACCCAGGTACCTTGGGTTTGACTCCCAGTATGTAAAAGAGATATTATTGGGCAGTTGTGGCCTAGGCGATAAGGTCATCAAGGAGTTGAAGACCACAGGGCAGATTTTTCAGTCCTGCCTCCCCACATTTAAACTTTTTTTTCCTGCTCTCGCCGTTAAAATCCTTCACCGCTTCATCCCCACATGCACTTTTATTTGTTTCCTTTATTCCCTTCGCATAGAAAAAAAAGAAATAAACCTAAAATTCTTTCTTTAATAATGAGCCAATATCAGTATAGTGATAAATGTCCCATCTACGCGTTCCATCAAGTGTGAGGCGTTCTGCGCATAAAAAACAAAAATGAACTTAGCTTCATTTAATTCTGACATTGCACCTGTAAAACTACTTTATGCCTTTAGATAAATAATTTTGTATTAAGTAAAATAGCTTGATATTTAATTTTTTTCTGCATTCGGCAAATGCCTGAGAATGGTACAGTATGCACCTGTATCCACTGATATAATTTTGTCCTGCGCCGTACACAGAGCGTGTGGTCCCACGATAATCCCACAGAAGTGTAGGTCTCTACCTCACCGGTGACAACCACGCCCTTGAGCAAGTCACCAGTTTCCCCAATTGCTCCCCGTGCTCTGCAGTCATAGCTGCCCACTGCTCCTGGTGTGTGTTTGTTTACTACTGTGTGTGAGTGCGTGTTTCACAAATTAAATGCAAATTCCCAGTATTGGTCACTCCATACCTGGTCCTAATGTCAATATTACTTTTAAATCAATCCCAGACACTTCCACTACTCACCAGTGCAGCCAAATTCCAGGTATTGAATGACCAATCACACCTTCTGCTACTCAAATATATGAACAATCCCCTTTAAGCCATTGGTCGCTCTACTGTTCTGCTATTCAACAGATTGACAGTCTCTGTGAGGATTATGAACTCTAGCTAATATTTCCTACATTCTGGAACATTGGACCTGGATTCCCAACCTCTTCTTGTTCTTCTCGTGGCTCATTACTGACCTCTGCATTTCATGCTGATGGTGCCGCTTCAGGATACTCTGCTTGTGATAGTTCACTTTGAATTGAGGCATATGGATATAACCCTACTTCCTGTGAAGAAGAGCCTACATCACTCCTCTCTTCATCTCTCTCTGCTGGCCTCCCATTGCTGAAGTATAAAACACTGATGGTTACGTAGTGAATAGTCAGTCTCAGGGTCGTCTCCATCATATTTTCACAAACTCTTGAAGCATCCTCTCCATATACCTGCATTCAGGAAATGAACAAGGTCTGGTGGTTCCATCTTTTTCACCGCTCCTGGTTGGTGGAATTCTCTTGCAGTCTAAATCTGGAAAGCAGAGTCCCTCACTTTTAAAAAGCAACTAAATCTCTTCTTTTCCAACATAACATACAAATCTCTGAAGCACTTCATTATTTTCTGTGTTCACTTCTTACAATTACCTTGTTTACACCCAAGCATTAAGTCGCTTTGGTTTAAAGCGTCTGCTTAATGCATGAATGCGTAAAGGTATTAGACAGATTGGTAAGTTGGAGCTGACATTGAGTACTGGCACAGTCGTCTTCTGTGGTTCCTGAGCAAACACTTCAGAGACATTCCTCTCAGTTTAACACCGCTGGATGAAATTCTGCAAATATTCCACACGATTCTCTTAACCTTCTAGAATGTCTGTCAGAAAGCCCCAGGCACTCAAGATCTACTGTAGACATATTATATCTGAAAGAGTATCTGACATCTGAGTTTAAAGAGCAGGATCTAAGAGTGCCTCTGAATGGCTTTTTAACCACTTTGTTTCAGAATAGATTCTTCTGAATAATGTCGAATAGAAGCAAGGTTGCTAGGTGTGCTTTTGAGTGACCTCGTGTTTGTTCAAATGAAGGTGATAATGTGAGTGAGATTTGTGAGGAATCTCTTTGCTGAAGTGCTGGTATGGACTGTGTGCCTAGTCTTTGCCTCACACCAACGTGGCAGCCTGAGAATCTGCCAGATCCTTCTAAAGGTCCTTGGAAAAACAGTTTACTTCACCATTTACTTTTATCAAAGGCTCATTCCTGCAAAAAAGGAGTTTCCTATTACTTTTACCTTATTTTAGATATCTGGCATCAATTTAGGGGCAGGTGTAAGGGCTAAATGGTTGACTAACAGAGTTAGATTTCAAACTTGGTTTGTTTCAAACACATTTAAAACTTGGTTAAGTTTCTGATTAAGACATGTGTACAACACTATCATATTTTTATCATTTTAATTGATGATTGCATCATCATCCTCATTACATACAACTTTACTATTTCATAAAAAATGTATGTGAGGCAACCAGTGGCACTAACAAAACATGGCACATCCAGATGTATGTATGCTGGCACAGGTTATCTTTATATATTCTAGAAACGGAAGAGATTCCTTGATATTGCACAGATTCATAGCTTCATCTTTGCTGGCAGGCAAGCGAGCACCAATCGGCTACAAGCAGATGAGGGCGCAGATTCGCTGTCGCCAGGTTTGGCACGTGCTCCGCATTGCCCGGATCACGCAGATGAGGGTCTTGCTGTGGGGTGGGAGGGCTCGACATGTCAACTCTGTCCTGGCCACATTCTGGGCTATAAACCAGCGCGCAGTCCCGAGAGCGCAGCTGTCAGGTGCGCGTCACCGTGGACCACCAAGCAGTCAACGCGCGCTTCGCTTCCCGACACCGGGATGTTGCACGTTTCTTCTTGACTTCCCGAGCAGTTCTGCACCTGCACGTAAACCCGAGCGCAGTGGCTTATCATGAGTTGTCTGGATGTTATGTACCCGACTTATGGTCATTACGCACCGTACGCACACAAAGCTTCAGCGTTCATCAGCACTTTGCCGGTAAGTGTCTTCTGCGCACTGAACGCACGCACTTAGATGCTTTAAAGAGCACGTTTAATGCCATGTCATAAACTTCCACTGTTAATATGTAGTGCCAAACCAGACGAAGTAACTCTCTAATAAAACTTGTTTAGAAACTAATGTAATTGAAGAGCCAGCTAATTAAGAGATGCAGTCACTGAGAGAAATATCATGTTTTAGCATGCCATCACTGTCTATTCCCAATTGTTGTTTGTTTTACCTATTTTGCCTAAACCTTTGCTTTTAAAAACTCGAGGTTTCGACAGTTAATTGTATGTAAAAATGGTTCAAAATATCCAATCAGCTAAAAATGTTATACAAAATATTGCCTTTTGCCATTTTTGACTGGGCCAAAATTCAGGCCTGGAAATGTATTTAATCCCAGGTCACCTCTGCTGCTGCCGTCACCACCTGCATCCCATAATTCACTGTATTACAAGCTAACTTAACACGTGGACTACCAGTCCAGGCAAACTGTTATAATATTTAATAAATAAACAATGAATAAATTAAAATAAAAAGTATACTAATAAATGCAAACAGCATTCTTTAAAAAGGGAATAATATAAGATAGAAATGTAAAAGTTTTAAACATATTTTTAGTGGTTAAACACATCAGAAACATAAAAACTATTAGAGAGCACAGAACTCAGTACTGGTGAGATTTTCAGTGGGTAATTTGAATTTGTGATTGAAAAGAAATCTAAATCTTGACAGGTAAAATAAAATGTATTATCAAGCATTGATTTCATCTTTCCCGCAGAATCTCTCTCGCTCTCTAAATGCACAGCTGCCTTCTCTGCAATTTGAAATAAACTTGCTCAATACTTGAAAAACGAATGTCTACTTCTTAAAACCACAGCTTGCAATTTTGTTTCTTTTTCATCAAAATTTACATGAAGGTTTCAGCTGAAATGCTGAATTTTTCACCAGAAGCATCTGGTAATTCTTTCTGCTTCTTCCCAAAAAATTCCTTAAGACAATTCTGGAAAAAAAAACGGATAATACACAATACTCATGTCTAAATCACTGTGTTATTTGTGCTATAATTCAACCTCGATAAATACAAACCTTCAGTTAATAATAAAAATAATCGTTTATTTTTTAAATCTCTGCGACTACCAGATTTAGTTTTTTTCAATTGGGTTTTTCAATTAACCCAAATGAACCCCTCTTACACTTCTACAAATAAAATTACATGTCTATTCCATGTACAGAGCTGCCACCCTGGAAAATGAAAACCGCTGTTAACTTTTACAGTTTCATATTTTTATATGATAATGTTTTAAAGCATTACATTATAACAATAAAACAGAATCTTTATGTTTTAAAGCATAATTCTTTTACGTTTGTGTTAGTCAGTGTTATTATGCTCACATTTTTATGATCTATTCAGAAACTATGGAATGAAAAATCTGTAAATCTGAAAGATTAGATTAATTAAGTAATTTAAACATCAAACATTAAAAAGTAAAAATGTCATTGGTTCATGTTTCAAAATGTACAAACTCATATGTGATGATATACATGATGTAATACTGTAAATGAATCACAATTTTTCATTTTATAATTATTACGTTTATGACTCTAAACACAATGTTTCATCACATTTAATTTGTAATTGAAATGATTTTATAGTTGACCCGAATGTGTAAAAATGTGATGTACTGCATATGATCATGAAAATGTGATACTCTCTTTTACAATTTTGAAGCAGAACTGGAAAAAAAGCAATTTAAACTGAACAAATACAATAAAAGCAATGTTTTTTTTTTAGAATTTAGACTAGAGTGGCTTATTTGAAATATTTCAGATAAAAATAACACAACGGATGAATTAAACTTCCTGCTGATTCTGATTGCCAGTGACAAATTAATGCCCTGTCCACAAATTTAAATGTAGGCTTATTTCAATAGTGTGCTTTTTACCCCCTATTGATCATGAAACATGTTTTATACAAGTAAGTAGCTGAAATTAGAGACTAATAGACAGAATCGATCAATCAATCAATTAATCAGGTTCCAAAATATCCAACATGATCAAGACAAAGAGCTGTCCAAGGATATCAATGACAAGACTGTGACCTACGCAAGGCAGGGGTTCACTTTAGGACAGTGACCAGGGAGCTTAATGACAACAGTTGGTGAGA